AGAGTAAAAATTCGGTTAGAAAGTTGTGAAGCCTCTCCTTCGACACATGGACGGATGTATCGGGTCAGATAACGACTTATTGCGCAGATGTTGTCTTGAACTTTCAACAAAGCTATGCTTGAGCTCCCAGCCAGTTCGCTATATAAGGCCATCTCGCTCCCGGCATCCCGCTAGATCTATAGGCCGAACAGAAACGACACGACAGTCTTGTTGGCTACCAGATTCTGGAGTAATAAGTAATAGCAATAAATACTATTATACAATATAGTAGTTGTTTCTAAGTAATGCCAGTAAATAAACACTATTAGTAGTTGTTTCTAAGTAAAACCAGTAAATAAATACTGCTATACTATAAGATAGTAGTTGTTTCTGAGTAATACCAGTAAATAAACACTATTACAATCATACTATACTATAATAAGTCGTAGTATCTGACTCGCGTGCGAGTGAAGCTTGTGTGATCTGCCGCTGACATCGAGAGGGAAGAAGAAGAAGACACTGTGTCCCAAACACTCTCACAGATTCTAATCTTCCGTGCCTTTTTTGACCAACAACCATCAACATGTCTGCGCAGGTCAGAGGATAAGATATTTATGAGTTGTATTCGTTTGTTGCTTGTTGGGTTGTTGTTGTTTTTTCATTCATCCATGTAGTCATTCGTTCTTTCATCCATTCATTCATTCATTCATTCATTCATTCATTCATTCATTCATTCATTCATTCATCCATTCATTCATTCACTCATTCATTCATTCATTCATTCTTTCATTCATTCATTCATTCATTCATTTAGTTGTTCGTTCATTCATTCATTCATTCATTCTTTCTTTCTTTCATCCATTCATTCATTCATTCTTTCTTTCTTTCATCCATTCATTCATTCATTCTTTCATTCATTCATTCATTCATTCATTTAGTTGTTCGTTCTTTCCTTCCTTCCTTCATTCATTCATTCATTCATTCATTCATTCATTCATTCATTCATTCATTCATTCATTCATTCACTTGTTCGTTCTTTCATTCATTATTAAGTATTCATTTGTTAATTTGTTCATACACTCATTCAGTCGTTTGTTCTGTAATTCGCCGGACTCGATCGCCTCAAAAGCAAACGTGTTCGAACAGCAATTTTTAATTTAATAGGTCAAGTCAGATTTCCATAAAAGGAATCCCACAAGCGCTGGTCTTTCTACAACACCTGGCTACGAAATGGTATATGAGGTACGATAGGGTGAAATATTTTAAAAGAAGAAAGAAATTGTTTTTGAAAAGAAAAACAGTAAAAAAAAACCTACAAAAACAACAACAAAGCCCACAATTAGATTTATTAGTTACTTGTAGCCTTCAGGTAAGATTTTCTCAGAAAACGCTTATCAGTAGGTCAGTGCAGATTTGCATAAACAGGATCCCACAAGCGCTGACCTTTCTGCGACACCTGACTGCAAAACAACAAGCCGCTTCTTGTTGTTTACGTGTACTTTGTCAGTTCGACCAGGACTAGTGCCCCGTTTGATTGAGAAGGTGTTTTACGGCACTATCGACTCAATTTTGGTCATTTAAGTGCCTGTTTAGTCGCAGGGTGAACGGTTCTTGATTCACAGCCTCTCAGAACCTTTTGTTTTTCTTCCTTTTTTTTTTTTACGCTTTGAAATCTTTCAGGCCCTTTGCATCGGACATTAATTCCCTCCAAACTGGAAATGCTTGATGTGTCTCCCACGCTCGTTACAGCTTACGCAGTTGCGAGCGCCGTAAAACACTGCCGTTTTTTAGGAGGCAGAGCTTCAATTTTCCTGCCAAGGCTATCCCGGACTGAGACGGATAGGGCGTCCAGTCAGGCAGAAAAAAATGAAAATACGTGTACATATATTCGATAAAAGATAATCCCTTCCCGGGAATCGAACTCTTGTCACCTGCGTGCGATAGTTAAAGTTTAAGCGTCTCTCGCCTCTCCACACGAGTCAGTATTCTAGTCTGTCCCCATACATTGCAAAGTTGAATGACTTACTGCTTGTTGGGAGTTTCACTTTTCCTACCTCCACCACAGTAACATTTCTCTTCTTCTCTTCCTTCCAGCAAAACAAGTTCTGTAGGCTGGATCTTATTTTACACGTTGTTTGTCTTCTTGTGCGTATTTTTTAAAATAAAACCTGTTGCCTTTATTTATACGAATGTTCACATACGTTTTGCTATCATTGGTTTGTTGTTGTTGTTGATGTTGTTGTTGTTGTTGTAGTTGTTGTTGTTTCGGGGGGGGGGGGGGGGGTTATATTTTACTTTTTTGGGGGTTCCATTTCTTCTCTCATCTGTTTAGTTTGGTTTCTTCGTTTAGGATTTTTGCTGCTTTTTAAAAATTCTTTTTGTTTTGGATTGTAGTTTTGTTTTCTTTCTTTCATGGAGCTTTCTTTAGGTTTTACAGTCAGGAATAAGAAAGTTGTAAACAATTATTGTACACCAATTTTTTTTCTCGTCAAGTGAGCTAATGTGTTTCGGGGCGAGCACTCTTTTGTGCTTCCCTCTCAATTTCAAAACTTTGCCGCTCCGCCTCGGCTTGAGGCTTAGCATGCGCACGTTAAATTTAACACACACGTGCACGAGCACACATTGTCCGACTTGTCGCTAGTTACGGCGACGGCATGTGCTTGCTTGCATGACGTAATAATTGTATGGCTTGTGCATGCATGCGTGTACAGGAGCTTTAGGCCAAAGGGGAAGGATTCATAAACACACTAGAATCTAGAATCTAGAGCAAGAGTAAGACAACTGTTAATAACCGTTTGGGATGCCGTCGTATGCACTAACTATGCACACAGTGTAAACGTTGCCAGTCTTGACACAGATTTAGGACTTTCTCCAAACTAAAGCGAAGCCGAAGCCCGTAGATCTGGAAGTAGAATCCAACGCAACGCATCAGCTGTCAATACAAAATACAAGCGTAAAAGAAACACCGTGTCGTTTCCACAGAGTACAAAGCCGATGTGAAACGGTGCGTAGCCTCGTACGAGAAGACCGTACTGTAGTATGACAAGGTAAACCAAGGTCACCGGAGCCAGCCAATGACGAAACACAGTTCTGCGCTCATGTTCTAAATATAGATGCGGTGATGCAAGATACTTCGCCCCGGCTCACAACTCCCAGCCTTGACTTATTTCAAATCTCTGAAGGTCTGGTGTTGTATTCAAAGAACTGAAATCACCAAGTAAACAAATTGAAAGTGTGTTAGTGAATTCTGAGTTTCTATTGAAAACCCGCGATTTTAATGCTGAGGCCGTTTGGTTGGACTGACCCATCGTAACCGGAACTTTATCAGGAGTGGCCATAGGCCTTGCCAGTCAATCAATGGAGTTTGTTAACCAATGAAACGCGAGCTTCGTGACGTAGCTCTGCCGACATATTTCCTATCCAATCACAGCGTGAGAACTTTTCATGCTTCACTCATGGGGTCTTTCCCCCCCTGCCCGCAGTACGTGGCCTCGCTGATGCGCGCGCACACATATAACTTCATTTGCATCTAACCGGCAAGTCAAACCAGAAGACACACACACACGAGGTCCGTCGAGTATCAAGAGGCGAACGAGCGCGGTCTTATCGCCACCACCACTACTAGTACTATAAAAGATACTAGGCCTACTAGCGCAGCAATGGATAGTGAAATTCCCGTATCTACAGGTGACCTTATCGTCAACAACGTTGACCTCGACGAAGGGGTTGTTATTGATTTGGAAGAGGTAAGTTCCACTATATTCGCTTTTCTACTTGCTGGTTTTCACCATGTTTTTACCATTGATAGTATAGTGTAGAATATTGCTAGAGTGAGTGCTGTCTGTGTGAGTGTGTGTGGTGTCTGCTGGCATGTGGAAGTGACTCTATTCTTTCGTCAACCAGGCCCGTGGGCTGTCCACTGGAACACCTCTCCTTAAAAACGGCTCTCTGAATGGGATGCTGACAGCCGAAGGCCTGCATAAGAGTTCAAAAGACTCAGGTTTTTCCTCTCGAATGTCTGAGGCCGGTGCTGACGCAGATGAGAGAGCCCGCCATTTACTACTGGGCGAGCACAAAGGAGCCTTGACAAAACGCCTCAACAGGATCTCAGAGTGCCAATATGGTGCGTTTTATTTTCGTTTTGGTTCATCTAGACCCTTACATTTATATCTTGCGTTGGTTTAGATGTTACCATAGAGTAGGAGGCGTTTCATAAAAACTGAACGAGTTATGAAGAAACAAGCGTGGTCTATCAGACATGCGCGAGCATCGACTCACACCTCTCCCGTTTGCTATCGATTGCGTCTGGGTGAGCATTAAGGGCTAGAGTAGAAAATGAAGGCTCTCGTCGTATTTGTCGCTATTAATTTCGGTCGCGAAATGTTAAAACCCGTTTATCTTGAAGCATGGACTCGCTATTTCACAAATGCATTAATTTTACATTCATAGTAATCATAGCAAGGATACATGCTGACACGCGCCATGTTTACGATGTGGAATTTATAAGTAAACAGGTTAGGTGGCTTGATCTCTATTATACATGTATTATATTATGCCTAGAAATCTAGCCTCGATTTGTTTTATTGTTCAACATGAATCTAGAGATCTAGATCTAGAATCTACTTTATTTATAACTAAGCATTTCTCTGGCTTTAGATTTAAGCCTTGCCATTCAGTTGTTTGTAAAATTTATTTTAACTGCCACGTAAGCTAAATATGGGCCTGTCACTCATTTTCACATTCACAAGACCAAAGCCGGTGGTATCGTAAGTTGTAAGATTCATTTTCAAAAATTGCTGCATTATTTTTATGAGCTGTTCTTTTTAAATAAAACCTCTTTTTTTTTTTACTTTTCTAGATCTAGATCTAATCTAGATAAGATTTAAATCTAGATCTAGACTGTCCTATTGGTGTAGAGAGCAGAGGAATAATTAATTGTGTGTGTGCTAAAATTAAATACAGCGAAATGGGAGTCTCTGGGCTATTTACCAACAATCGGGGGGGGGGGGGAGACTTTGTCCTGAGGACTCTTCTTAATTCTTCAATTCTCGGTCGGATCTAAAGGCACAGTTTTTTATTGCAGTTATTGAGAGAAGAGCGGATGCACGCGCATTCAAGTATTTCAAGGTGTGTTCCTCCGGTTAGACCGTGAGCGATAGCCAAGGCCTCTAGGCCTATCACCCGCGATACGATAGAGTCTTTCCTAGTCGCGCTCGATCTCCCCTCCCCGCCAGGCGCCAGGCCTTCGTCGGTAGCTCGCGCGATCTGGCTTCAGCCGGTTCCGTTAGCTAGTCAGTGCTTTGAAGTTGGCGCGCGCCGCGTTGCTATGTGCCACTGGTCTGTCCCACCTCGTTACCTTTTTTGGCGCGACGCTCTTCAGATTAAAAAAGGGTTCTAATGAGGAGGTAAAATAGAACTATAGCCCTATTGACAAAAGATACTCATGTTTTTTTATGATTTGTAAAATGATCGAAGAGAGAAAAGTTGTCTCTGGTTTAAGAGAAGTGATGTCTACATTATTACACAGATCGAACGTCTCAGATTTTAACAATTCCAACATATGGGGAAAGTACGGAATTCCGCTTTACTGGCTATTGATTAAAGGTGCATCCGAGTTTCGAAATTAGACGCCTTACTTATAGTTGAAGTTTCTAGGGTTCATTCATTTTCTATTGTTGTTGGGTTGTTCTGTTTATTTGGGGGGGGGGGGGGGGGGTAATTTCTGATATTCTGTTCTGTTCAGTTAAGAAAAAACGTTGGATGACGTAATGACTTAGTCAACCTGCGATTGGCATAAGTTAACAAGTAATATGCATGACAATATGTACCGGTACCCAACTTCACGCGGGGCCTCCTTTTTTTTCAGTTTTCACCTTTCCGCTGACTCGACCTTGTACACGATTGTTCTACCTGGGCTCAGCATTGGGGGGATATATCCTGACCTGGGTTGTTGCCAGGAACATTAACCCTTTCCGTACCCCCACAGGGCATGATCACATACTATTGACGTCATAGTCTCTTGAACCGATCTAGTTTCCTGTTAGGTTTGCGGTCCTGGCGCTCGGGGGGGGGGGGGGGGGGGTACGCGTCGGACGATTTATTTACAACTGTTGCCTAGGCCTAGTTGAACTAGATCTAGTTCCTCATCTCCCGTCACCATTTAGGTCATTTGCTGTTTTTATAAAGAAAAAAAGTGTTACTCTCTGAAACTTGACCATCACCCCCCATAACTTCTCATGATTCTGTACAATGTTTAGTACATTTAGCTTTCATCACGCATTGAGACAATAGTCTGGTCTGTCTTGTCATGCCTTAGATATTGTTATCAAGGGTTCAGTGTGTATTATTTGTCTTTAGTTTGAACGGCAGTCAAGTAGTTATGATGAATTTTTCCCACTGTTCAATAAATGTTATACATTCTAATGCATGATGCCTTAATTTCGCAGGTTGTGGTGAGTATGTGTTTTTAGATGTTACGTTGCAGTTCTTACAAATTATGTAATAAGAATATTTTTATTTTAGCTATTTTTTTTAGCAGGCAACCTTTTATATCTTGTATTATGTTTCTTCAGGTTCAAGACTTATTTCCCCATTCTTTACAAACGACCTATAAATATGTTCTTGACTTGTTTCAGGTGTCTGAAATATTTTGTGCATTGATTTACCCTGGTCTCTTTTGTTTTGCTTTTCAATAGAGGAGCCATGTGCATGTTCTCCCGGTGGAGTGGCAAAGGCTGCGGCCAAGATCCTGGGCGTCCTGTGCCTGCTCTACATGTTTATCTGCACCCTAGATTTACTGAGCAATGCATTCCGACTGTTGGGAGGAAAGACTGCTGGTAAGAATAGTTGTTTTGATTTATTTTGTGTGTGTTATAATTGGGGGGGGGGGGGGGGGGGACATGTAGGCATATAGGCCTAGTAGATTCCACTGAAACTAAAATCTGCAGGACAGAAGCGTTTGTTTTGTTGGTTGATTTTTTTCCTCTCTGGAGAGGTTTGAAAATTGGAGGGGGAAAAAGTTTGAGATTTTATGGTTTAGTTTTTGGGTCAACCATGTTTGGTTGTCTAGGATGTTTTTCTTCCCTCCATGGCAAAATTACTTTAAAGATTTGGTTTATCTCACTGACAAAGTTCCATTAATTATATATATTACACATGCACACTTTCTTTTCTGTAAATGTTTCATATTTGTAAAAAAAAAAATTGACTGTTGTTAAGTCTTGAGTATGTTTGGTTTTAGTTTTTTAAAATTAAATCGACTAAATTATAGGTTACCGAACATAATTAACATAAGGTACATCTTTTTCCCCTCCAGGGAGCGTGTTCTCTGACAGTGATCTCCTCCGTAACCCCATCACTGGACTGATGATTGGTGTCTTGGCTACCGTCATCCTGCAGAGCTCCTCCACGTCCAGCTCTATTGTCATCACAATGGTGTCCTCAAACAGTAAGTAGACCTTCAGATTAGTTTTTGTATACTGAAATAAAGGAACACTTGACTCTTCTTTGAACCTACTCACAGCAGATAAAGCTGCTCTAGCGGCCACCCATCGAAGACAGTCACCTGTAAAAATGACCATTTCGTTTCCCCCTTGCATTTTTATGTCATTGTCCAAGGCTTCTAATAGACTAATTGGGGTGGGGCGTTACAACCTTACACTCATTTATCATATAATAATAATGATGATGATCATTTATATATATTTATTTATATATTATGTTAGAAATATTTTCCCTCCTAAAAATGTAACAACATACCTGAGAGGTTGTCTTAATCATTCAATTTCCTGTCCTCCATGGATTGTTGTTTGGTTTTTTTAATTCTCAATGTATGAATGCTGTTGGGGCACTGGTCATTTGCTTCATGTCTTCACTATTCTTTTCTGATTTCCAGTCATTGAGATCCAGCCTGCAATTCCAATCATCATGGGAGCGAACATTGGGACCACAGTCACCAACACTTTGGTCTCTCTAGCCCACTCTATGGATAGGCGGGAATTCCGGAGAGCTTTCAGTGGAGCTGTGGTGAGTGCGGAATAAACACTTGGCTGATTGTATTTTATTTTAATTTCGCTCAACGTCCTGCTCATTCCATGCTGGTTCTTGCTCAACTTTCTGTCAGGTTTTTCCTAGACTTCTCTTGAGTTAAATGACTCTTACTTTTCCAGCACTTTCCAGATTTGTCTTGAAATAGAATAGATATAAAATATATGAAAATTATGTTTTCTTGGGGTTTT